CTGCAAAGTGCTGAGGGAAGATCCCTATCCCATCTTCAACTGTACTAACTATTCAAGAGTAAAAGAAAAATAACAATGAGAGAATTAACCATTCCCCAAAAAACTGCTGAAAGCACCATTAAAGGTGTACTTTAGGAAGGACTTTGAATGAAGCAATGATGAACAAATAAGCAAACACAAACTGGTAAGAATGTGAGAAGATCTAAAAAAGGATTAAAGATTTAGAAATAAGCGTAACAACAAATTTGGGAAAGTAAAAACAAACTGAAACTAAAATACTGGGCAACAGCAATGTGGCAGATGAAAGGGAAGTGAGTTAGAGCTAAAGCTATCTAAAGTCCTCATATTACTCAGAGGGATACATGTTAAAAATGTAAGAGTACAGGCCGGGCGCGGTGGCTCACGCCTGTAATCCCAGCACTTTGGGAGGCCAAGGTGGACGGATCACGAGGTCAGGAGATCGAGACCATCCTGGTGAACACAGTGAAACCCCATCTCTACTAAAAATACAAAAAAAAAAATTAGCCGGGCGTGGTGGCGGAGGCCTGTAGTCCCAGCTTCTTGGGAAGCTGAGGCAGGAGAACGGCGTGAACCCGGGAGGCTGAGCTTGCAGTGAGACAAGATCGCGCCACTGCACTCCAGCCTGGGTGACAGAGCGAGACTCTGTCTCAAAAAAAAAAAAAAATGTAAGAGTACAGAATGAAACTGACTATAAACCTTCCAAATAAGTTGAGGGGGAAAAGACAAAATATAAAGAAAATTTGATCAATCCAAGAGATGTCAGGAAAAGAGGAAAAAGGAGAAAAAAGGATAATATATAAAGTACAAAATAAGACAGTAGAAACCCATCCACATACCTAGTTATTACAATAAATGTAAAGAGATTAAACTAGCCAGCTAAAAGATAGGGACCCTATAATTAGATTTTTAAATGATGAATCCTCTATACACTGTCTAAAAGAGACCTAAAACATTACAAAGAGATTAAAAGTGAAGAAATGAAAGAAAATATTTGTAAATCATGTATCTGATGAGGAACACGAATCTATATAAAGAACTCATACAAGCCAGGCACAGTGGTACACGCCTGTGATCCTAGCTACTCAAAAGTCTAATGCTAGAGAATTACTTGGGCCCAGGTAAAGCCCTCCTAGGCAACATAGTAAGACCCTGTCTCTAAAAGTATTAATTAATTTAAAAAGAACTCTTACAACTCAATAATTTTTTAAAAATCCAATTTTAAAATAGATGAAGGATCTGAAAAGACATTTCTTCAACAAATCATATACAAATGAGCCATAATCACATGAAAAAATATTCACCATCTTTATACACAAAGGAAACTCAAATCAAAATGACAATGACATACCACTTCTCACCCACTAGGGTGACTATACTCAAAAAAACAGATAATAGGCCGGGCGTGGTGGCTCAAGCCTGTAATCCCAGCACTTTGGGAGGCCAAGACGGGTGGATCATGAGGTCAGGAGATCGAGACCATCCTGGTTAACACAGTGAAACCCCGTCTCTACCAAAAAAAAAAATACAAAAAATTAGCCAGGCGTGGTGGCAGGCGCCTGTAGTCCCAGCTACTCGGGAGGCTGAGGCAGGAGAATGGCGTAAACCCGGGAGGCGGAGCTTGCAGTGAGCTGAGATCCGGCCACTGCACTCCAGCCTGGGCGACGGAGTGAGAATCCGTCTCAAAAACAAAAACAAAAACAAAAAAACAGATAATAACAAGTATTGGCAAGTATGTGAAGAAACTGGAACCCTCACACATGCTGGTAAGAATGTGAACTGATGCAATACACATGGAAAATAATTCAGCAGTTTCTCAAAATGGTACAGAGAATTACCATATGACCCAGCAATTCTACTCCTAGATATATACCCAAGAGAACTGAAAATCTATACCCACACACAAAAAAAAATGTGTACACAAATATGTACAGTAGCCAAAAAGTGGAAACAACTCAAATATGTATCACTATGAATGGATAAACAAAACATAGTAGAGCCACACAATGGAATATTATTTGGGCATAAAAAGAAATGAAGTACTGCCTGTAATCCCAGCACTCTGGCAGGTCAAGGTGGGAGGATCGCTTGAGTACAGGGGTTCAAGACCAGCCTGGGCAACATGGCAAAACCCCGTCTCTACAAAAAAAATACAAAAATTAGCCAATGTGTCAGCATGTGCACCTGTAGTCCCAGCTACTCGGGAGGCTGAGGTGGAAAGATCGCTTGCACTCAGC